AACTTGATGCCGACCGGGAATTTCCGTCCGGGATCCACTTGGGGGACATGGCAACTAAGCCAATGCATAACGTCCCATACCTTCGCTGCACACCAAACCTTGTATCCACTGATCCATTTGTCACACGAAGTGGCCTCTCGAGCTGACCAATCATATACCGTCTGGGAACATTGTCCCAAAATCGCGAATCACATCGTTTCAACCGCCCGGACGGAAATTTGTTCCGAGCGAAGATCCCGCTGGGTCCTTGCCTACTCTTGCATCACTTCTTTGCGCACTGGCGCAGACTAGTCACTCCATTTCACGATCTAGTCACTCCATTTCAAAAGATCCTTCGGCCGTTAGATCCAAGAAATTTGCCTCACAACGCAAATTGCGCCGGCAGCACCGAACTTCAGCCATGGCCACTTCCGGCACTCGTGCCACCACGATTCCTGCCACCACGGCAACGACGGAGTGGGCTCTGTCCACTCCTATACCGGCGCCCACACCCACGTCATCTCCAGCGTCTGCGCCGCCAATCCCAGCGCACCTCCGTCCTGCGGACACCTCTACTGAGGATACCGAGGCCGGCGCGGGCAACGGCGGCAATGGTACGTCGTCCGGAGACTCCAAACCTACTGCTACGAGCAAACCGCCGGTTGAGGCACCTCCTGCGCGCGAGCCCAAGGCTCCGGACGCTCCTGGTGCGAGTGGTGATGGGACAGCGCCTACTATCTTCACGGTTGGTTCTCAGCCTCTCAAGTTCGTTCCGCAATCGCCTTCCGCGTCTGGAGAGCCTGCATCGTTCCCCCTGCCGCGTCCACGCCGACTCGCGCTGACACGCCATCTTCAACCACGCGGATGCTCGACCTTGGCGGTATCATCAAGTTCATGCGCTCCGGGGTGTTACCTGCTTCTCACGCCAGCTCTCAAGGCTGTGCCAACATCAAGCCGACACGGGCTGTTATCCCACTGAGGCGAGGGTTGGACGCTAACTCATTCGTCGTTGGTGTGCCCGCCCACGCTGCTGCTTATCGGTCCGATACGCATGTGCAAGACGGCTATGGCGGCGTGGAGAATCTGTTGGTATTCGACGGTCTCTCCAACCAGGACCTGGACGACTTGGCACAGATCGTCGGCTCCCAGTCGGAGGTCCGCAGTATGGTACTCCGCCCCTGCCCCGGCCCTGACGACCAGCCACTCGAAAAGTTCGAGGCCTTCCCGGACTCGTTGCTAGTCCGTCGGCAGATGGCTTCAGTCTTCCGCCAGTTCGAAGGCGAGCGTTTCGCCGAGCGTCTCTTCTATTCGATCTAGCTGCTACACCGGGTCTTGGGCCATCATCGGTCTTCTGCGTCAATGCGTACGTCAGCCGGGCTTTCCTTTCAAGACACGCCATTGCGATCCAAACATGACAGCCTCGCGAGTGACTATGGCTTCCTCGAAGCGTATCACGAACAAGAACGCAAGTCATTGCAGGATGTCAAGTCCCAACCGGACCGTGAACTCTCTGTGGCTGCTGATGGGCGAGCTGTGCGCGAAACTTGGCTGACTGACCAAGTCCAGAAACTTGAGGATCGTCTGACATCTGCCACTCAGATCATTTCTCGTCTGGAGAAGGCCAAACAGGTCAAAGCCTTCGACGCTGACAAACCCATGACGTTCCTGCACGAGAATCAAGGCAGCATCCGTGGGCGCTGGACTCGTCTTCGCCATCTTATACAGCAGTTCGAGCGAAGCATACAACCTCCGGCTGGGTGGAAGACTTGGTTAAATGTCGAGGCCGCCGACAAACCCTATCGCGCGATGCCTCCGCTTCCGAATGCTCTGGACCATGACAGTGAGGCCAGCGACGACGTGGAGATAGTCGTTTCCGACGGGGATGGCGCCCCCGATCAAGATTCCAAGTCGGAGGAGAAACCCCCTGCCTCATCGCTCCTTTTGGGAAATCCCGCCCCTGATGTGGCGCCGACAGAGAAATCTCCTTCGGGCGCGTCCGCGCGGAAACGACCGGCTAAGCAGTCCCATCGTTCGTCTAAGGCTATGACGCTTGTCGAGATGGAGACTCCGCATGGGGCCGTGAGGATCCAGTCCCGCCCGACAGTTCACTTGGAGTCTGGCAAGCGTCTCTTGCGTTTCATCACTGCATAGAAGATGTGGTTGTTTCTCGATTCCCCGACTTACTCACCCTCGCGGATCTTCGCCTCGACACGCTACTGACTATGCAGGCGGGGTTTAGCTACAGCCAGGCCGTGAAGATGATGGGTGACGATGCCGTGGCACATCACGAGTTTCCAGAGGCTGACTTGCGTAACATGATAACCCAGATGATGTACCATCGGTGGCTTGATGAGACGCTGTGGACACGTTACGTCCCGGACAAATACTTCCGAACAACTGAAATCGCTTTAACAGCACGCCTGCTAGTTGGCAACTATCCGTCGGAGAAGCTCTGCAATGTGAGGGACGATTCGCTCTCCGCTCACGAGACCATTGACGAAGACTACAACTCGAAGGACGAGGCTGAGGTCCAACCGGTAAACGACGGTGGCACGTTGAGCAACGACGAGCCGGGAACTGCCAGTGATCGGACGCGAGAGAAATATCCAGGGATTTTTTTCTTCGTCGGATGAGAGCAGTAAAAATGAGGCTACAAAATCTAAGCCTCGGTCCCGACGGGGTTCTCTCTCACCGCGCAACTCTCCAGCCAAGGATATTCCGGCAAAGAAGTCTAGCAAGAAAGCGACTTCTCAGTCAAAGGCTCATCTCAAGCGCCAACGTCACTCGTCTGGGAGCTCATCTGAGCCGAACTCCGACGGGAAAGGATCGACTTACACGCCGTCATCCAAGCGACCACGCCCACCTGGGAGCAACGGTCGCTCCAAATCCCGGCTGGCGCAGCTCAAGTATGACGAGCTGTCGGAAGCCGACAAGGCCGTGATTGAACCCTCTGGCCTGGGTATCATCTCATGGCGTCGCCGGGGGATACTCTGTCGGTTCTCCCCCAAGAAAGATGGCACTGAGGGTCAAACGCCGGGCTTCCCAGACTACGCGCCCCAATTGTCGGATATCGTCTTCCTCAAGCGGCGTTGGATCCCCATGCTGAAGCAATACCTCGCATTGATGTCCAAGCGGCCCTGAAATGTCATGTTTGCCAACCGGGAGAAGTATTTGTACTTCCATTTGCGCTCTGATTTCTCGCCTACGGCTGTGAAAGCCATTGCCAAGCACATCCAGTTCATGAAGGATAACTCTCGAGCCTTCTGGGACATGCTCCATTGGTTCGTCATGAAGACTCAGCCGGAAATGAGAGAGAGTGCTGGTTCACGCAGCGATGCCTACGCCACATCCAGTGCAATCTACGCGGATCGTTCCACTCGGCATGTGACGGTCGGTCGCGGCTTCGAGAAACGTCTTGAGCGGATGTTTCAAAGGGGTGTTCCGCGGACTATCGTCTGGGAACCTGGTTTCTGGCTCTACCCACTGAAAGTGTGCTACTTGTTCTTGGCACACCGCAAGCCTCCCAACTCATCGGGTGGGAAGTTCACGTTGGAGCAACAGGTTGAAGCAGCTGAGCGCGAGTTCCCTGCGTGTACCCAGTGGACAGCCTACTGCAGTGACATCGACCGATTCGCACACGTCCCAAAGGAAGTACGTGATCAGCGCAAGCCCGAAGACGTCCGCCGTCGAAACCCTATCCACTCTCGTGCGGCCGATGTTCTCCTCTAGGGCGATCCCATCGAGACCTCTATGTTGTTTTGCAGCGCGTCTTCTCTTTGTCGTTTAATCAGTCAATATCATCTTTTGCATTTTCATCCTCTTTTGCTTCCACATATTCGTCAAAATCACTAAGTCCACCACTTGTCATTTGGGTTCAATCATCTGGACTCCACTCGAATACAATCATTCCCTAGAAAAATCAACTATCATAACACGCATCTCGGCCGAGTGTCATTACTCAGCCGCGGGGCCCGACCAGACTTTGCAGTCCGACCGAGCAGAATCACCCGAAGCCTTACAACCTCGGGTGGTCGTCTCCAGCCTGCATGGCTTGGAAACGTGCGCGGGCTTTTGCCCCTTGATTGAACAGGGCACCACAGCTCAGCTGAGCTAGTGGCACCCAGTTTGGCTCGTCGTAGCCTTTCCACTTGACGAGATATTCGCGGATACGCTTGGAAGTGCGGGTCCGCTTGGACCAGCTTAGATCCAGATTCTCTTCGACTTCATACTCGTTGTTGGTGTTATCCACCTCCCAACTGTCTTCTGGCAGCAGAGCTGCATCCCGGTCATCTTCATCATCAATCTCCGTCCGGACTGTCGGTCGTTTGGGAAACAACGCTCGAGGCTTGAGTCGGCTGATGTGTACCCATGGGTTCACACGGTAACCGGTGTCGTCAATCGTGAGCCTTACACGGAAATCGTCGGTCACTTCGGCGATCCGGAAAGGTCCATGCCACAGGTGAGCGAGCTTGCGGCTCAACCCTGGCTGGACTTTCGGGATGTATAGCCATACCGCGTCTCCGACCGAACCTTGATCCGATCCGACAGGGCTCTCTACTTCCGGGTTTGTGTGATCGCTCGATCCCGCTTGGCTTTCCGCTGCAGGTCTTCTGCACAGGCTTGCGCATAGCTTTAATCGCGCTGCAGTTTCCTCCGCCACTCGTACGCGGTTCGCTCGACAACACCAGATGGCTTCGGTCCGAGCATTTCTAACACTGTCCCTTGGGCGTCCCAACCGTGTACCAGGTAAAACGGGGTGTCCAGACGGGTTGCGTCAAAGGATGTATTCAACGCGAACATCAGGCGTTCGCGTGATCGTCCCAGTCGGACTGATCTGCCTCAGCCACATATGCACGCACACTTCGAATCACCGTCTGGACTGACCGTTCTTGTTGGCCACTTGCTTGGGTCTGTAGCCGAGGGTGACTCGTTGTTTGCTCCCTAGCAATTCCTGGAAACGTCTGACCACTTCGCCCATAAATCTTGGATCCTGGTCGTGGCGGATCATGGAACTCGCCCCAAACCTCTGGAAGACACGTTCTTCCTCAGCCACCTCTTGGGCGGTGGTTGAGCCCATCGGCTTGCACATGACATAACCGGAGAACATATCCTGGAAAAGCAACAGAAAAGTGTTGCCCAGGCGGACTCCGGCAAATGAGTGACAAAGTCCATAGAGACAATCTCAAATGGGCGAGTCGGCTCAATGTTCCCAGGGGAGGGTCCCTGGTTAGGGGGGGGTGCCCCTTTCCGCTAGCACAATCTACACACTCTTTGACGAACGTTTTCACATCCGCGAACATTCCATACCAGTAGAAGTATGTCCGGAGTTTCTCGTGTGTACGCGTTATACCCTGATGCCCACCTTGGAAATCCTCATGAGCGTAATGCAATATGTCCTGGAGTAATGTCTCTGGAACTGCCAATCGTAACATGTCCGTCTGATCTCTGGGCCTCCTCTGAGCGGAGTGATTCAGACGGAACAACACGTCTCGACTGTCTAACTCGAACAGGTCAGCTTCCTTCGAAAGGCGACGTATCTGCGCGCGAGAGAAACTATCCACTCCACCTCGCAAGAATTTCTTGAGGTTTAGCAGACGGTGATCCTCATCTTGGTGCGTCTTGATTCGTCTCCACCTTTCCACTTGATACTCCAATGGTCCCATTGGATCACTTTGACTGGGGTTTCCGCGAGTATGACTCCGGGTCACGGCCGTCATGATTCTGACCGGGGTTGGTAGAGGGGAGGACTCGGACCCTGGCCGAACACTAGTTGATTTGCCCGGCGGTGTCTCTCGAGTAGGGTCGTCTAAGTCCAGAACGACTACCGGCTTCATCAGCTTCTCTGAAATCGAAGACACATATTCCAAATGCGTCATCTCGGCCGGATCGGTCACGATCCAGGATTCCCCAGCCACCAGTGTCTTCGAGGTGAGATAGTCGGCCGCCTGGTTGTATTCTCGCTTGACATGTACCAGCCGGACTGACTTGAACTTTTCTCGTAGGACACCATACTCGGCTAGTCTCCGCTGCAAATTGGGCTGATTAGAGTTAATCAGCCCTTGCACTTGCTGTATCACGATACGTGAGTCTCCGACAACAACCACGTCCGGGATGCCCCGCTCGGCTACCATGGTCAGACCCTTGAGCAGACCATGGTACTCTGCGCCGTTGACAGTGACATCTTCGAGTACAAAGCCTTGAGCCGTCACTACCTTCCAACCGGGGAGTTTCCAGATGATACATCCACAGCTACCCTGACGCGTAGACGTCTTAGCGGCACCATCGAAACTCAACACGTAACCATCAAAGTCTGCTTCCAACATCTCCACGCTGATAACCGGTTGGGGCTTCACTCAGCTACTTCATCCAAGTACTCACGTGGGGTGATGCCTGCTCCCATAATAGCAGCCAACCCATCCTCGTCGCTCTGAACCTTGTGGGCTTCCAAGTCCCAATTGGACAAGATCACTCCCCATCTGACGCAACGTCCGTCGGCGCTCTTAGACTTCAACAACCAGGACAGGACGGAATACCGCGTGTGGACCTTGATCGGGCATCCCCTGACGAGATTCTCGAATACTTCCAATACTCGCATGATCGCGATCACCTCCTTCTCTGCTTCATGATACCTAATCTCTGTTTCATTCAGTACCCGACCTGTGAATCGTACGGGTAAGATTTTCTCATCATATTTTTGTCCTAGGACGGCGCAGGCCGTCCAGCGATTCGCATGTGGAATGATCACGAACGGCTTGTGCCGGTCGGGGTGACGCAACAGAGGCGTAGACACGATTTTCCGCTTGAGAATCTCGAACGATTCTTTGGCTCTGGACAAATCCCTTCCAGCATTGATCTGTTCATCAGTCAATTCATGAAGTGCCGCCACCACTACCGAGAAATCATCTATGAACTTGTGGTAGTAATTTAGGTTTCCCAAGAAGGACTGTACTCCTTTGAGCGTTGTCGAGAACGGTAACTCTTGAACGGACTTCGCGATCTTGGCCATAGCCCTAACACCCTCGGCACTAATTTCATTAGCGAGATACGGATTGGTGAGCTTGCCGAATTCACTCTTGGGAATGCTGACGGAGATATTCCAATAGCATAGCCGATATAGCAGAGCGTTTAAATCCTCGCACAACTTGTCCCAGGTGGGCGCCTCATGGGCGATGTCGTCGATATAAGAACTCCGTCCGAGGACGGGTCCCATATGCGATGGCGCTGGGATATTCCGCTTGAAAGCCGTCATCTTATCTGTCAGAATAGGCACCCCTGGGCAGACTTCTCACGCTGGACTTCTTCGACTTCTGCTGGATCTAAACCTAGGAACTTCAGAACGTCCGCATCCACAGTCTTCTTTTCCTCTGGTGGTAACCTGACGAATCCCCAAAGACAATTGTTGATCATCTCTTGATATATCAACGGGGCGTTCTTTAGACCGAATGGCATTCGAATCCATTGGAAATGGCCGAATGGACACACGAACGCGGAGATCCGCTTGCCTCGCTCGGTCATAGGTATGGCCCAAAATCCACTAGCCATGTCTAATGACATGACCCACATGGCTTGCTCGAAGCCCATCAGGAGGTCGTCAATCAGCGGCAGCGGATAATTCGACAGCTCAATGAAACTGTTTACCAGGCGATAGTCAATACACATGCGAATGTCAACTCCATTCTGCTTCAGGACGATCACAATAGGCGAAGCCCAAGCAGAGTCAGACATCTCAACGAGTCCAGTTTCTAGGAGTTTCTTCACTAACTCGTAGACCTTCATTTCAACCTTCGGGATTATCGATCTTGGTCGAAGTGCTACCGGTTTGGCTCCTCCGACGTCAATGTCGAATACCACGCCCCGTGCTGGGGTAGGTGCCGCATTTCCATCGCCTAAGAAGATCTTGGAATGTCGTCTGAGAACGGTTCTCAGCTGCTCTTCTTCCGCTGGAGTAGTCCGTCCTGGGATGCCCACATCCGCCTTAGAGATGTCACACTCAGGTGTGAGATCGCTCAAATTAGGCAACATCATGAGGTTATCACGCAGCTGAGACATCAACTCGCTTCCCTCATGGATGTAAACACCAGGTTCTAGATCCAACTCTTCTCCCGTAGCCTTCATCACTCGGATGTACTCTGTCTCCAACTTCTGGACGGGGTCCGCTCATCCGTTTGGCTCGAGGAACCTGGCAGGGTTTCAACGTCGGTTGCATTGGACCGCTCGGACTCTTCCACCGGGTCCGCTGACCTTTCGGGCTCTGGTTCGGCTTCGTATTCTATCCAAGCTCGGTCTCGACTCGCATACAGGATGTTCTCGCATTCGCCCTCCCATCTGGAGTCTGTCTGCGTCGATACGTCGCAGGTCTCGCACGTTTGGGTTCCAGCATCTGAAGTCATCTTGACCATGCGCCTCCCTGTCTCTAGCCGATCAGACTTGACTTGGAGACAGGCTACGCGGGAAGTAGTGGCTCCTGGTTCTGGACGCAACAATAACTTTGAAGGCCATCGATACTCAGGGGCCTGTACACAAGGTGGTCGCAGGGACGCTTCGAGCTCAACCAGCTTCCGTTCATACCTCTGTCGCTCAATAGAATTGGTATTCTCATAGATCAACTGCGACCACTCCTTGTATCGCTGCCTTCCCGGCCGAACGAACCGTCCTGCCTGGGGGAAGTAACCATACTCCACAATCCTTGCCACGACAGTTCCAGTACTTAACCATAGTCTCGACTGCGAGATGTGAACCACCTTGACATCCACCGCCCATGATTTCGAGGCGTAAATGACTTGGGTCACCCAGCGATCTCCTCGCCCGGCCCAAACGACTTCCCGTTGAGGATCCGTCTGGCCATACCTCACTCGGACAATTTCATGTTCGCCTGGTTGGAGATACAAAGTCTCATCTGGGTGTACTGGCACATCCAGGCCCACTCGCTCGTGATTTTGTCCAGTGCACATGACCACCATTTCTTCATCAGGCATCCTCACTAAACCTTCTCGCAT